TTAAAAAGGTTTCTCATCCCTTTTTATTTTTTAGTGTTATCATTTTGTAACAGATAATATATTTGCCTGGCTCAAAGCTCAAAATAATATAAAAAGTATGCTTTGGGAAGAGAGTCCTTGCTCCCATCCCTGTTTCCCCTTACCCACTTCCCACATTTCCCATAGGTAATCACTTTCATTTGTTTCTTATGCATCATTACAGTGTTTATTTATGTGAATACAAGCAAATGAAAATGCATCTGCTCATCTTCCTCCCTGCAGTAGACAGAATAATGGCCCTCCAAAGATATTCACATCCTAATCCCCAGAACCTGTGAATGTTGCCTTTCATGGCACAAGGGACTTTGCAGGTATGATTAAGTTAAAGATTTTGAGATGCGAAGATTATCTTGAGTTGGTCCGTTGTAATTCCAAGGGCCCTTGTAAGAGGGAGGCAGTAGAGTAAGAGTTAGGACAGGAGGCAAGGTGAGGATGAGAGATTTGAAGATGCTACCCTTTGAAGATAGAGGAAGCGGTCATGAGCCAAGGAAGGACAGCCTGTAGAAGCTGGAAAAGGCAAGGAAATGGACTCTCCCCTCAGAGCCTTCAGAAGGAACCAGCCCTGTTGACAACTTGACTTGAGCCCAATCAGATTGATTTTGGACTTCTGCCCTCCAGAACTGTAGGACAATAAATTTGTGTTGTTTTAAGCCACTAAGTTTGTGATCATTTTTTACAGCAGCAATAGGAAACTAATACACCCCCTTTCTTATACAAAGGTGACATAAATTACATCCTTTGTTCTCAGTACTATTTAAGGGGAGGTAGGTGGGGCCTCAATATCTTGAACATAACAATTCATTAAACCAGTTGTTCTCAAACTGTAGCAGTCATCAGAATTACCTGAAGGGCTTTCTAAAACACAGAATGCTGGGCCCCAGTCCCAGAGTTCTGATTTTGATGATCTTGGTTGGGGCCTGAGAATTTGCATTTGAAACAAGTCCCCAGACCTTGCGGATGCTGCTGGTCCATAGAACGTGCTTTGAGAATCCATTAAACAATTCCATTTTGGGGGATTCTGAAGCCCCCAGCGACTCCAGGGCCTTCCTACTCCCCCAGCCCACAGGGGCTTCCTTTCCCCCTCCCCTGTCAGTTTGACCTTTGGCTTCTAGACCCCGGTATAGCTCTGTCCCTCTCCCCTCATTGTTCTGATTCTGCTGGACAGGGTTTCCCCTGAGGCCTTGGCCTGTGAGCAGCCAGGCCAGCAGAGCTTCCCAGGACCATTTCTCTGGGATGGGGCTACAGTCAGACACTCTCGGGCTCACACACTCAGCCTCCTGCAGGCCTCCCCTCGTCATCGGCTCCCCATCTACTCTCAGGGTTTCTATGGGCTTATACTCAGTACCAGGCCCTTGACCCTCTTGCCCAATAAATGACGCAGGGCTGTGAATTCTCAATGAATGAATGTAAAATTAAATTCCGAGGGGACTTAGAAACAGTCCTATATGCACTTTTAAACAGGAAATTTGAGTCTCTCAACCTTTTTTGTTTACAACAGATTTTGCTACTATCTCAGAATGTACTTTTTTTCCTGAAAGTTTTTGTTGTCTTCTGATTTTTCAACAAATACTCAGCTGCCCTGTAAGGATTGAAAGCAGTATTGCAGCACAATCATAAATAATCTTTTTTAAACTGAAGGGCCTTGTAGGACAAAGTTTGGTTAAACCAGTTTTGTGAGAGAGCAGGGAGTTACTAAGTAACCACTGCCCCCCCCCCGCATACAGGCTTGCTTTGAACTTCTGCTAGTGCTTCTCTCTGTCTCCTCTTGATGGGAAGTATCTTGCTTTTGCCTTTACTTTTAGTAAGTTTAAGGCTGTAGAAAAATAACTACAATTTCCTCATCTTCAGTTTTCATAAAATTTATGTAGACATTTTTATTTTCCTAGAGATCTCTTATCTAATTCTCTCCCCACGGTCACCTGGGTAACTGGACACATCATTGTTCTTCGGTCTTATGTCCCCTTGGTTGGAAGAGGAGTAGGGTTGGTTTTCTAAATTTACAGTGACTTCCTCTGAGGAATAAAGTGCTTCGGAGTAAACTAGGACATTTTGGTCTAAGGTAACTATATACCAAAATCCCCGAGAGGCCACTAATAGAACCCCTGGTAATAGGTAGGAAGGGGGATTACGAGGCTGCAATGCCCAGGCAAGGTTCAGATGCTTTCATTGACTAGCTGGGAAGCAAAAGTTAAGACATTTCCTTGGCAAGAATTCAAATGTAAAGACGATCGTTTAAGTAAATAGGTACTAGCAAGTCTTACCTGGGCATTTTTCTAAGCTGCCCACCACAAACAACAACAACAAAACCTTCTCTTTAATAACCTTCACTGTTTTTAATGAATATGGTAAGAAAGGCTGACCTTGTTTGGGACCTTAGCATAAGCAGACACGAGGGTTCCGAAGCTGCTCTCGAGTACCAGTCTGGACGTACTGATTGCTTGCATCTTATTTCATTTTTACACGTCTTTTAGTACCATTTCCAAAATGTAACAGTTGCTTAAAAAATGTCCTTTGAATTGAACGGGACACGGCTGATGGAGAACCCAGCAGAGTTACTGGTCTCCAAGTTGACAGTGTTGACTGTGGTGGCCCAGGTGCCCCATTTCTGCTTAGGGACCAGGGAACTTGAACAGAGGGTTTGGGCCCTGGGAAGGGGCACAGAGAACACCCACAAGAGAAGCAGGGTGAAGCTCCACCCTCAAGGGACTTCAAGGGCAGGGCCTTCAGGGAGGGGCAAGTGTGGAAGGACAGGAGGGCCACGTGAGACATCCCAGGAATAACTTCAGGAGACTTGCAGGCAGAGGCGTAACTGAGTGAAATGTCTATTGTTACTATTTGTATGAACTCCATAGGCTGGTGAGGCCCGGGGAAATTGAAGTATAATTTATTATTTCAACTTTACCATTTATTGCGCTTGTATTTTGCATACATTTTTTCCTTTAGAAGAGACAATATAGCATGAGAAAGTAGTCTGGTGGGGTGATTGAACACGAGGGTGATGAAGCCAGACGAAGCCAGATGAAGCCCGGGTTGTCAGATCCCTGCTCCACCTTTTACTGTGTGACCTCAGACAGGTGAAGTGGCCTCTCTCTGGACTTTGTTTGCTCCTTTATAAAAGGGAACTAATGGATGCAGCAACCTCAGTTCCATTGGGAGGAGTAAATGAGGTTATACGGATATGTAGGATCCCAAAAAGGGAACCCCAACTCCAGCCTCGGGAAGGCGCGGACCCACAGACACAGAAGACCGAGCTTGATGCAAACGCAAGAGGTAAGAGGTTTATTAAGCGGAGCTCCGGGTCGACACGTATCTCTCGCAGGAGACAGAGGAGTCGACCCCGAACCTTAAGGGGCAAGCTCTTTTATAGGATTCGGAAGCATAAAGCGGGAAAAGGTTGGCGCGGTCTTACATGATTGGCTAATTTAAAACATTTAAACAGTTACATTTTATGGCGCGAATTGCTATGGCACGAAGCAATTATCAGGTTACACACACGCGTCCCCATCTGGACCCCCTCCACCCCGACCCTCCCAAACTTATCCCTCTGGAGCACTCTCTTGTTCTCAATTTTCCCCGAACAGTTTAGGGCGAGTCTTTTATGAATAGAGTCAGTCAGGATCGATAAACGTTCCCCCTTATACCAGGAATCCTTAGGGTGTGGAGGTGCCTGTCTCTAAGGTATTAACTTTTAAATTTTTAATATAATTTACTTCCTTCAGATAAAATGCTGAAACCAGTGTCTTGCACAGACTTAGTACTCTGTTAGTATCAGTGTTATCATTATTATTATCACATTTTTCCAGCAATGAGTCAGGTGCTATCAGGATCTCCATTCTAAAATGAGCACAGTGAGTAAGGGCCTAAGGCCATGTAGTTACTAACTGGCAGAGCTGGGAAGAGCCCAGACCTGACTCTAAAGCCCGTTATGTTCTACCAACTAGCAAACGGCCTCCATAAGCATTCTAAGAAAAATGTAAAATAATCCGGCTAACGCTAGAATTGATGCTCCTTTTGAAGGTGCTGCAACACTGCAGGCTTTGTGCAATGTGGGAAGACAAATGGAGACTGGGTGTGTCCCTAGAAGAATTACTCTTTGAGCTTCCTTGCAAGGCTGACTTCAAGGTCAAGGAGCCATCAAAGTCATCACCCCTCCCCCACCTCCATTCACACTCCCTTCCCAGGAAACTATTCCAAGGTCTAAATTTGATCATGATTCTTCAAATGTTATGACTGGTTAACACCCCACCCTTGTGGTTAATATTGGAAGTAAGTAACCCAAGACTGATGACTAGAAAACAAACAGCATATCCTGGTATGAAGAGGTCAGAGAGAAAGGTAGCTGCTTGCAGGGTCTGTTCAACCCCAACAGCCAGGTAGTGAGATTTCTGTGCTAATCCTCTTCCATTTTAATTAATTTAAATTTACTTAATTGAATTCTCATAGTAAAAACCCAAGCTGGAGAGATTTGCTTAGCCACAGGCACATAGCTAGGAAATAGCCTCACCAGGATTTGAATTCAAACCATGTTGCTTCTAAGCCATAAAATTCTGCCCTTGGAGCAGCGATTTCAGGTTCTTGGGCTAGTTCCTGTAGGAGCTGTGCGGCTTAGATGAACATTCTCTCGTTGAATTGTACAACTGAAATAGGTGAATTACATGAGCTATAAAATACATCTAAATAAAGTTGTAAAAAAAAGAAAGGAAAGAAGAAAGAGAGAAAGAAAAAAAGAAAAGAAGGAAGGGAGGGAGGGAGGAAAGAAGAAAAACATGAGTTGCTAGAAAAAGGTTTCCTCATTGGCTCGATAACCACTGTAAACCGTGACATGAGTTCAATGAAGGCCAGTAGAACTGAATAAAAACTGAAAAATTTTTCGGTTCACCCCCTTGTCAACTGCTCGTGAATTTCTTACCTGCCGCTTCATGTCACACCCACAATACAGCCTTGTGACCAAAGCTCTTCACTCCTTGAAGAGCAAGTACAAACACCTTTGGGTGTGTGTGTTTGTTTTTGGTAATGGCATGCTTGCTGCAGTTGACAGAGTCCTAGGATCTATGACTTTCTGAAAGAGCCCAGTCTTAAGGATTCCACTTATACAGTTGCTAATGCTTAGGACTGTGCTGATAAATCAGCTCTAACAACTCTTGGCACAGACTTTTGGTTGCAGTGAGGCTTGCAGTGAACCAGCAGATGAAGACTTTAATGGATTTTTTGTCATTATTGAGAACTTCGGGACTTATGCCTGTTACCAGCTAAAAGTGTAAATAAGTTAGAGGACACTGACATGGAAGAAATGCCAAACATTGACATGATGCACTGTTGAACTTCCCTTGCATGCAATGGTGTTAGCCACAGAAAAGCAAGTGAGGACTGGCAAATGAGTTGGGGGAGAGAAATGAAAGGGTAATAAATCAGCGTTCTCAATGCTTGTCGCTCTTAAATTCCGAGAGGTGCTTGAAGAAAGGACTGCTAGTTAAAAGCTTTGAGAAATGATGGGTACTTTATTACTACTTTGGAAATTCACAATGCACGCTAGCATATTAAAGATTCTGACTCGTTCCGAGGTAGGGCTGCCAGCCTGACGAATGCTAGCAGAGTCTTCACAAGCCTGTGAGGGTGTCTCCTGGGTAAATTCAACAAGCTCCAAGCCTTTCCATTGCTCCTGCCATTGCTCTGCTGCTAATGCCCAGCACAAATCAAACATTCATTTCTACTAACACGTTGTAGATGCTGACCTAGTATATCTGGAGGGTCCAAAGGATAAGACCCATCCCCACTTCATCCCTCCAAGCCGGAGATGCTCTCAGGGAGGCTGTTTCCCCACTATCCATCCTATGTTGTTACCTTCTTATATCTCAGCAAAGGGAGAGAGGTGAAAGTTGGTATGTATGTGGGGTTTGATGAGGCTAAGTGTGTAAGTTTTTTTTTTTTGTAATAGACTTTATTTTTTTAGAGCAGTTTTAAATTCACAGCAAAATTGAGTGGAAGGTACAGAGATTTCTCATATACTCTCTGCCTCCACACATAGCAAGCCTTCCCCATTATCAACATCTCCCACCAGACTGGTACTTTTGTTACAATTGATGAACTTACATTGATGCATCAGAACCACCCAAAGTCCGCAGTTTACATTAGGGTTCACTCCTGGTGTTGTGTATTCTATGAGTTTAGACAAACGTATAATGACATGTATCTGTCATTATAGTATCACACAGAATAGTTTCACTGCCCTAAAAATCCTCTGTGCTGTGTCTACTCATCCCTCCTACCCCCAACCCCTGCAACCACTGATCTTTTACTGTCCCCATAGGTTTGCCTTTTCCAGGGTGTCATATAGTTGGAATCATACAGTATGTAGCCTTTTCAGATTGGCTTCTTTCACTTAGTCATATGCTTTTAAGTTTCCTCCATGTCTTTTCATGGCTTGCTAGCTCATTTGTTTTTAGCTCTGAATAATTTTCCGTTGTCTAGATGTACCACAGTTTATTTTCAGTACCACCCACTCAAAGACATCTTGGTTGCTTCCAACTTTTGGCAATTATGAAAACAGCTGCAATAAACATCTGTGTGCAGGTTTTGTGTGGACATCAGTTTTCAACTCCTTGGGGTAAATACCAAGGAGTGCAATTCCTGGATCATATAGTAAGAATATGTTTAGTTTTGTAAGAACCCACCAAACTGTCTTCCAAAGTGGCTACACCATATTGCGTTCCCACCAGCAATGAATGAGAGTTTCTGTTGCTCCACATCCTTACCAGCATTTGTTGGTGTCAGTGTTCCAGATTTTGGCCATTCTAATAGGTGTGTAGTGGTATCTTGTTATTTTAATTTGCATTTCTCTGATAACATATGATATGGAGTGTCTTTTCATATGCTTATTTCTCATCTGTGTATCTTCTTTGGTGAGGTATCTGTTAAGGTCTTTGGCACGTTTTTTTAATCAGATTTTTTTAACCTTGAGTTTTAAGAGTTCTTGGTATATTTTGGATGTCTTTTATCAGATATATCTTTTGCAAATATTTTCTCCCAATCTGTGGCTTGTCTTTTCATTCTCTTGACAGTGTCTTTCACAGAGCAGAAATTTTTAATTTTAATGAAGTCCAGCTTATCAATTCTTCCTTTCCGGGGTGGTGCTTTTGATGTTGTATCTAAAAAGTCATTCCCAAACCGAGGGTCATCTAGATTTTTTACCATGTTATTTTCTAGGAGTTTTATAGTTTTGCATTTTACATCTAGGTCTGTGATCTATTTTGAGTTAAGTTTTGTGAAGGGTATAGTGTCTGTGTCTAGATTCATTGTTTTGCATGTGGATGTCCAGTTGTTCCATCACCGTTTGTTGAAAAGACTCTCTTTGCTCCATTTTATTGCCTTTGGTCCTTTGTCAAAGATCAGTTGACTGTATTTATGTAGGTCTATTTCTGGGCTCTCTATTCTGTTCCATTGATCTATTCATCTGTTCTTTCCCTAAGATCACACCATCTTGATTACTGTAGCTTTATAGTAAGTCTTGAAGTCAGGTAGTGTCAGTCCTCCAACTTTGTTCTTCTCCTGCAATATTGCACTGGCGATCCTAGTTCTTTTGCCTCTCTATATAAACTTTAGAATCAGTTTCTCAATATCCAAAAATAACTTGTTGGGATTTTGATTGAGATCGCATTGAATCTGTAGATCAAGTTGGGAAGAACTGACATCTTGACAATATTGACTCTTTCTATCCATGAACATGGAACATCTCTCCATTTATTTCATTCTTCTTTGATTTTTTTTTATCAGAGTTTTGTGGTTTTCCTTATATAGATCTTGTACATATTTTGTTAGATTTATACCTAAGTAGGTCTTTTAGGGGGGTGCCAATATAAATGGTATTGTGTTTTAATTTCACATTCCTCTTATTCATTGCTGGTATATAGGAAAGTGATTGACTTTTGTATATTAACCTTGTACCCTGCAACCATGCTATAATTTCTTATTAGTTCCAGGAGTTTTTGTTTTTGTTTTTGTTTTGGTGAGGAAGAGCAGCCCTGAGGTAACACCTATTGCCAATCCTCCTCTTCTTGCTGAGGAAGATTGGCTCTGGGCTAGCATCTGTGCCCATCTTCCTCTACTTTATAGATGGGACGCCTGCCACAGCATCGCTTGATAAGCATTGCATAGGTCTGCACTCGGGATCCGAACCTGCAAACCATGGACCGCTGAAGTGGAGCACATGAACTTAACCACTATGCCACCAGGCCAGCCCCCGAGTTCCAGGAGTTTTTTTGTCAGTTCTTTTGGATTTTCTACATAGACGATCATGTCATCTGAAAACAAAGTTTTATTTCTTCCTGTTCTTGTCTATTATTTCCTTTTCTTTTCTTATTGAATTAGCCAGAACTTCTAGTAAGAGGTTGAAAAGGAGTGGTGAGAGGGGACATCCTTGCCTTGAACCTGATCTTAGTGTGGAAGCTTCAAGTTTCTTGCCATTAAGTATGATGTTATGTGTGAATTTTTTGTAGAATCTTTATCAAGTTGAAGAAGTTCCCCTCTATTCTTAGTTTACTGGGAGTATTTATCATGAATTGGTGCTAGATTTTGTCAAATGCCTTTTCTGCATCTATTGATATGATCATGTGATTTCTTTTGTTTAGCCTGTTAATGTGATTGATTACATTAATTGATTTTCAACTGTTGAAATCAGCCTTGCGTACCTGAGATAAATCTGCTTGGACCAAGTATATAATTCTTTTTATACATTATTGGATTTGATTTGTTAATATTTTGTTGAAACCTTTTGCATCTGTGATCATGAGAGATACCAGTCTGTAGTTTTCTTGTAATGTCTTTATCTGGTTTTGGTATTAGGGTAATGCTGGCATCATAGAATGAGTTAGAAAATATCCCTGTGTTTCTATCTTCTGAAACAGATTGTAGAGAATTGGTGTAATTTTTTCCTTAAATGTTTCCTAGAATTCACCAATGAATCCATCTGGGACTGATGCTTTCTGTTTTGAAAAGTTATTATTGATTCAGTTTCTTAATAGTCATAGGACTAATCAGATTGTCTGTTTCTTCTTGTGTGTTTTGGAAAATTGTGTCTTTCAAGGAATTGATTAATTTCACCTAGGTTATCAGATTTGTAGGCATAGAGTTGTCCATAATATTCCTTTATTATCCTTTTAATGTCCATAGGATCTGTAGTGATGTAGTCTCTTTCATTTCTGATATTAGTAGTTTGTGTCCTTTTTCTTTTTTTCTTAGATAGCCTGGCTAGAGGCTTGTTAATTTTACTGATCTTTCCAAAGAACCAGCTCTTGGTTTTGTTGATTTTCTCTATTGAATTTCTGTTTCCAATTTCATCGATTTCTGCTCTAATTTTTATTATTGCTTTTCTTCTGCTTAATTTGAGTTTAATTTGCTCTTCTTTTTCTAGTTTCCTAAGATAGAAGTTTAGATGACTGATTTTAGATCTTTCTTCTTTTTTAATATATGCGTTCAATGATATAAATTTCCCTCTAAGCACTGCTTTTGCTGCATTCCACAAATTTTGATGTCATCCTTTCATTTTCATATAGATCAAAAATATTTTAAATTTCTCTCGCGATTTCTTATTAGATCCGTGTGTTATTTAGAAGTGTGTTGTTTAATCCCTATGTATTTTAGGATTTTCCAGATATCTTTCTGTTATTGATTTCTAGTTTAATTCCATTATGGTCTGAAAGCAGACATTGTATGATGTATATTCTTTTAAATTTGTTAAGGTATGTTTTATGGCCCAGAATATGGGTTTATCCTGGTGAATGTTCCATGTGAGCTTGAGAAGAATGTGTATTCTGCTGTTGTTGGATGAAGTAGTCTATAGATGTTGATTATATCTTGTTGATTGACGGTGTTGTTGAGTTCAACTATGTCCTTAATGATTTTCTGTCTGCTGGATCTCTCCATTTCTGATAGAGGGAGGTTGAAGTCTCCAACTGTAATAGTGGATTCATCTATTGTTCTCTGCAGTTCTATCAGTTTTTGCCTCATGTATTTTGACGTTCTGTTGTAAGGCACATACATGTTAAGGAAGGTGCATGTCTTCTTGGAGAATTTATCCCTTTATCTTTATGTAATGCCTCTCTTTATCCTTGTTAACTTTCCTTGCTTTGAAGTCTGCTCTGCCTAAAATTAATAT